CCTACCTAGAGGGCACTGATGTCCAGTACATGGTGCCAAAGAACTGAGACTGCACAGGCAGAAATGTCACTAGTAGGACAGGGTGGACTCAGTGCAGGGGGGAGTAAGGAAGGTTGGCAGCCTGGCTAAGTCCCCAAGAGCTCCCACCTTCTCTTCTTATCCCAGGTACTTGACTCAGTTAGCTGATTCCCCTCCTATTGAGTCCTGTGGCAGAGGAATGGAATGCGGATGAAGTGCAGATCCTATGTTTCTAAAGAGATTGAATTTGGGATTAGCTTCTGAGGTGGTTTTTGCACCTTCTGACCCTGGGATCTACACATAGAACCTTCATTGTGGATTACTGAGATGTTTGATGTGAGCTCAGTCCAGTTAAGCTTCAGAAGACTAATAATGCTACAGGTCTGGTTGATTTTTAAATTTCAGCTAATACATTTTATTTATAAGAACTTGTTTTATTGTTTTCCTAAACTGACTTTGCAGATCGGTGCACAGACATTGATATCAAAGCAGAAATAGACAGATTTTGCACAGTAGTTTACAGTTTTCAATGTCCTTTTCAGCAAATTATCACTTTTTATTATCACAACATCTTGTGAGGCAGGCAAAGCGTGTATAGATTCTTATCCATATGTTATAGCTAAGAAACCAAAAAAAAAAAGGTTGCCTTGACCATCATTTGAAAGCTGCTAAGTGACAGAATTAGGGATGGATCATGAATGATTTCATTGGAAAGCCTTACTTGGTTTGGTGGCTTCCAATTTGTTGGTTCCTGCTGGTGTACAGACGGCCATCACAGTGGGCCAGGGGACATGTGGTCCACAGCTTCCTGAATTCAAGCAATTCTGACACTTAAAGATCAGGAAAGTAACTTAGGGGGTCTGGATATCAAGAATTGGAAAGCTGCCATTTGAGGATCAGGGAAGGGACGTAACTGGAGCACAGCCTTCTACTCGACAGGGGTGCCTTGGACGGGGGCCTCTGTTTAATTCCTTTATTTGGCCTTCCTGGTAGCAGTCTGAAAGGCCCAGCAGGTTCCTCCACAGAGAGAGATCCTGAGCTGCAGGCAGAGCCAGCAGAGGGGTCTGGGAAGCTAATGCTTCAAGGTGGCACATGGGAGAGAATGCTCTGCTTTGCAGGCAGAGGCCAGGGGAAGAGGAGGGAACCCAAGGGCTTTCCTGTCAGTGGGGTGAAGATGGTGATGAGGACAACGATGGTGATGAACATGTGAGTAGGAACCAGGATACTCCTGCTAGGCATGGTGTGATTTGGAAATGTTAGAGGCTCTGGAATCACTCCTCAGTTTCCACCGCGTGTCTGAGTTAAGTCATGTGATAGGAAATAGTTGAATAATTTCTGGATGAAAACCAGAGTTTTGTCACAAGTTCCTTATTGTTATATCCATGAGAGTTGCTGTTAATGTAAGTTTTGATATTTTGAATATCTATTCACCTTACTTTTCACAGAAGAGCCTAGAATATTTTCTTCTCTCAAAACAGTTCTTGGCTTGTGATTCAAAAGCAATTTAGAGGCAAGACAGTGGCTGGTGGTTATAGAAAGAGTGGTAAAGGATTACTAATATAAAACAGAGCTGGCAAATGATAGGGAGAACTACGAAGCAACTGAGAAAAGTGGTTTGTGGATGGAGAGGGAGAGAACAAACAAGATAGTGCTCTGCCGCATCATGAAACACACCTGCCGCTTTGACCATCTGGGGTGCCAGTCCCTCCCTGGAGGAGGTGCTTGTGCAGCACATGGCTGATCGGGAGCCCCTCTACACCTGCTCAGTCTGAGAAGGCCTCAGAAGACCAGTCCAAGAGCCTGGACTACAATGCTTTTTCTCAGAAGGTGGAAAGCAGTTTCCAGCATCTCTCTCAAGCAAATAGTAATTTCTAGAAATTTATCACCCTCTTGGCCTATTTTGGGGCCACTTAACTGGGAACAGACCTGTTTGTGAGACACTGGGTGATCAGGCTCTGGAAGAAAATGATTGAGATGGCAAAATCCAGGCAAGAATTCAGTAGTTATGCCCTGGAGCTGGGACTCCAATAAGCTGGGGGGACTATGTGCCATTTCAGTTATCAAAAAAGTGCCTGACGATGACCTCCTTTGGCAGGCCTCTCAGATTCAGAGTTGCTTCCCTATCCCTGCTGCTACTGCTCTGGACTTGGGTGCCAGGGTTCTGGGATGGTGGTTATAGGAAGAGCTTTTTACCCTGCTACCCTTCTAACCAGTCTTGCTCACTCGCCCTTTGTTCCTCAGAGAAACCCTGCATACTGTTACCATGATAATTCTTCTTCTTTCTTCCTTTTTTATTTTTTGGTGGGGGGCATATTGTTAGAGCTGGAGTTTTTCTTACATGTACTTGTAAATGCTTCTACAACAGAAGTATGATTTTTGTGATAATGAAAAGAGGACAAGGCACCAATAATGAAAGGACATATTTAAAGTCAGTTTTAAATGCCTCCAAAATTCAGAGGGGAGCAGATGAGAACTGCTGTGGCTCCTATTTCTTCTTCAAGTCTATATGCTCCCTTTGGGCAGTATCAGGGGCCTCCATAAACACTCCTACTCTAGCTCCCAAACAGATTCCCCCTCACTTCTTTAATCTTGACTGTTATTCGTGTCTTTGTGGCACCCAGCTTCTGCTCCTGTCAAACCCTGTCCTCCTAGCTTATTTCAGTCTTAGTCATCCTTTCAGATCTAGTTAAAATTTCACCTTGCTGGACTATTTTCATACTTCAATCTATCTATCATTCTGTGGCATTTTATTTATGTGTGTACAGCACCTCTTAGGAAAATGATGATGGCCTTTTCAGTTGTTACCTGCTATTTTACCTGAGTGAATCTAGTCTCCTAAATGAATTCCAGATTCTTTGAGGACAGGGGTCTTGTAAAAGCATTGCTTTCCTCACACCATCTGCCATAGTTCTAAATACATTGTATATAATCTACTGATAATTATATTGAGACTTTGATTGACATGTGTCAGACCACAGTATCAACCTTCCTACAAAATATTTGGAGGAGGTTTTCATAGGCATGGTAGTCATGAATACAATGGAATGAATGATTTGGAATATCAGTAACAAGCTGAGTGTGTGGCCTTAGAAAACATTATCCTTTCCCTGACTTGCCAGACAATCGCTTTCCATGTGACTCTTGTTAGCTGTTCTGACCACTGCCCTGGTGAGAACATCTTATGTCCTTAGCAGATTGTGAACTTCATTGCCTACACGAGGTTCCTTCTCCTACCATTGTGGACAACTCTGTTCATTTGTCTCGATTCCATCATCATCAACGGTACCCCTTCTTCCAAGAAGTAGGCACTGAATGCCATCACTGAGATCACGTCTCTAAGCTTGGATTTCTAAATAGGCTACTCTTCTCCTATAGACCCTACTCTTGTTTTGTCACTCCAAAAGATGAACTTGTGTCATTGTACATATGGCTATAAAATCTGTTTGCTTACTTACATATTTTGTCCATCATTTGTTTGGCCAAGCAGGATATGGTCCTTTTAATAACTGATCTTAGATTGTAAGTTCTTAGATGGTGCACATGAAGTATTTTTTAATGTACCTGGGGCAGTTCCCTGCCTGAAAATATACTCTCAAATGATTGCTGTAGGGTGCCTTTATACAAACATGACAGGCCTAAAATCTCATCTGACTTCTCACTGTGAAGCTGATGACAGAACCAGAGAGAAAGTCTGAGTAGCTCAGGTCTACTAGTTAAACTCCATTCTTAACTAGCAGTGTGATCTTGTGCTGGTTTTCAACTTCTTTGGACTTACTTTTGAAAATGAAATGCAGGGGATAATTGTACCTATCTCACAGTATTGTTTTAAGAATTAAATGAAATAATACCTATAAGCTAGTACCATTCATGGCTATTGTTTTCATAGTTGTTTCATTATTCCTTGAGACAGAAGATAACTGAGCAGTTGAGAATGTGTGAACGACATTCTGAGTATATTTGTTGAACTGAAATGATTCTGTATTTTGAGGTTCTTCATGTTAGCAGAAGCCTGAGCTTTTCAGCCAATCAATCCAGTTTGGTGGCTATTATCCAGGTCTTTTTTCTTCTCTCCAGGACTGAAAATATCTACAGAAGCTATAAAAAAAATTTTTAATTTTTAAAAAGGCTGTTTTGCAGGATGCAGGAGGGTGGGGAAAAGAGGGAGCTAATATTTCAGGCTCCTTATTTCAGTTTTAGTTTATAATAACCCAACCCACCCCAAAGAGCCTAAGGGTTTTCCTCTCGGGACAGTAGTCCCCAGCATGTGGGTGGCATCTTCCCTTAAGCTGCCATGTGGAATTCATTGGTACAAAGCAATCAATTTGTGTTTGGTCTGTGGGAGTGAGCCTGGTCTGGAAGGTCACTGATATTTTATTGTATGAATGTTTCAAACTGGTGTAAATTAAATCTCTAGGCAGAGCTCACAAAGGACAAACAGTGAATCAAAGAGAGAACCAGACATAACAGCAACCTGGGTGTTTCCCTTCTGATAGTCTCTCCCTGGGCCTCACCACTCTGCATTTTGATGCTTAGATCTCAAGGCCGAGGCAATGGTGGACCAGGTACATCAAGAACCTGCCGAAAACTGACTTGGCTTAGTGTGTGGACTTTGAGAAGTCCTCAGGCAGAGACACAAAGTCACAGCAGGGAGGAAGTGGGCCCTTTGGCAGTAACTCCTGCGATCTGCTCTGCTTTTACTAAAGGCTGGAGAGCCAGCTCCTTGGAGGTTTCAAGCACAGTACCCTGCTTTGGCTTTGGTCTTTCAGGCAAGTGAAGAGAATGGCTTGGCATTGCTGCTCCAAATGCTCTGCTTTTTCACTGCCTACTCCTGGGCCTGCTAGTGCTCTCCAGGTAGCTAAGGGAACACAGCCCAGAGAAAAATCTGACCACAAGGAGAACAACACAGGGTTTATGAACTGAATAGAGAATACTGCCCAATCCAGCAAGGTGTAATCATTTTCTTTCACAAAATCAGATGATTGTAATAGAGAGGGAAATGACAATATTTTATTTTTTCATCAACACCGAACAAAACAATATTGGTCCCTGGACAAGTTTAATGTAGAAACGTGACAGAAATGTTTTTCAGAGTAAGCCTAGGGTCTTCTCATCATTTGGTATGACACCTTGTGTCCCTGTAGCAAGAATCAAAGACCAGAGGACATAGTCTGTGAGCCTCTTTTTCTGTGCTCTGAGCCAATGTAATGTTACATCTCTGGGACCATATGAGACAATGTTCTACCTGCCTGAGCATCGCCCTCTCTGGAGGACTTTGAAATGACCACTCAGCAGATAGTCCCTGCCTGTCTCACCTGTCTGAGGAGCCTCTGGTGTAGGGGACAGAAGTGTATACAGAACAGCTGAGCAAAATATTCCAGAGAGATGCTTAATAAAAATTCAAAAACACTTCATTGGTGATGAAGTAACATAAGATTCTTTGCATTATTTTGTCTAAAAAAGATGGATCTAATAGAACAATGTGATCCAATCTTCAACTCCTTGTTCACATTCAGGGATTTGCTGGTGAATTAAGAGAAAAAGAGCCAGTTAGATCAGCAATTCCCATACCATAATAATAGAGTGAACATTTTTAAGTTTTTATTATGTTCCAGGAAGTGTTTTAAGCAACTTACATGTAGTGTTTCACTTAATCCTCACCATTTTATGTGATAGCTGTGGGTAAGAGATACATGAACTGTCCCAGCTTTACACTGCTTGTAAGTAGCGAAAGTAGAGTTGACTTACTCTGTAGGTTTAAAATCCCAAAGCATGATGCTTCATTTCCCCCAACATTTCAGAAATTTCAAGAATTTTTAAGAATCATTAAAGTTACCATTGGAGGAAGATGTATACCATTGTTTAAATAAATTTAATCTTTTAAAAAAGAGAGTTGTTTCCTACATGGGCACCAGGCTCACAATGGCATAACCTCCTTAAAAGTAGTCATAGTTCTCCTTTTCTTCCCATCTTTCCTGCCCAATATCTTCTTCACTACTAGCCTTCCCTGGGATAAGAAGGGTACAGGTAATGTTCTAGATTCTTCTTCATGGGAATCCTCATCCAGTCCTTCTTAGAAAAGAGTATGCCTAGAATCCTGCCTCGAGGTGGATAGGGCACGACTAGGGCACAACAAACCACATATTCTGGAAGCACACTGCTCTCCTGGGGGGTGGAAAAGAAAAGCTCTCTTCAGCATATCCTTCTGCCCACTCTCACAGACACAAGATAGAGAAAAGTCATCTCACCTGAGTGACTAGGGATTTTCTAGATCATGGTGCTGAACCCAGAGGATCAAGCTAAATGTCTAGAAAGCTCTGCAAGGCAAAGATGTTCAATTATTGGAGTAGCAGGAAGCAACAAGAAAAACAAAGTAGCTAATATGTGGTAGTGAAAGAATGCATTATGGTTAATTTTCCTGGTTACTCAATGTAGCTCACCCATACTGAGTGCCAAGGGAGAGGAAGTTTGAGGTTTGTTTTTATCCATATATTTTCAGCTTTGCTGCAGATAATGTTGTGTGTGGTAATTCCTAAGTGATGTAACAACATGTAGAGTTTCTCAAGGAAGGTTAGTTGGCATTTTTAACAGGACTTGGATTAAAAGTCTTTCTCTTCAAAAACCAGTTCAGTGAATGAGCCTGAAAGGAGCCTGGCTTTGAAATCCTCTCCTATAATACCAAAAACAATTGGAGTAGCCTGATTTTCTTTATTGACAGTAATCTGCAGGAGTCTGAACCATCACAGGTTCAGGCCACTCTCAGGAGGCTCTCAGACTCCCCAGGTGGGAAGTGACTCCAGCCCATGCACCATAGAGATCCCCTGTGGGATCCACAGCAAGGGCAGTCTTCAGGGATAATACTGAGCTTACAGTGCCCTAGAGCAGGACTTATGGGATTGTATTTGAAACTAAATGTGTCTATTCTGATTTTCCCCCCCAACTTCTTTTCTCCTTCTATCCCCAATGTTGTATGTAGGCTAGGTGAAAACTTAGTGCTTTTTGACTTATAAAAGGTTGCAATTGGAAAGATAGATGAAATGACAGTGTGAGAGAGAGTCAGGATGCTCAGCTGAGTGGCCTCAGTGTCATTCCATTATAAATTTCTGTGAGCAGTGCTTCTGAATTGTCATTTTGCATGTGTATGATAGAGTAAGTATTGCACATCTCAGCCAACCTATGCTTTTCCTGCTTCCCCTCAATCCCTGAAGGACTCTGAAGAAGGGAAATCAATAAATCAATTGGTACCTTGTCCAATACCCATTTCAATAACATCACAGGGCCATTTGCTAAAGACTAGACATTAGTTACGGAAAGAGACTGAAACATTCTTATTTGATAATGTATCTCTTTGCCTTTGTGAATGAGATACAAAATGGAATAGTGGAGTGTTCTTGCCAATAATAATTTTTGTGTTGACCTTATCAAAAAATAAAAAAGATAATTATGGAGAGAATGATAAAATATCATTTATATCTCAGGGTTTATTACAAAGCCAGTGGGGAGTGTTTTCTAGGCTTATTGTATAGTATTTTATTCAATTTTCCCTACTGTGGCTAAATCAACTTTTTAGAAATTAGATTTTTTAAATATATATGTTCTTTCCCCTTGGTCCTTAAAAATGACATCAAAATTAACATTGAAAAATCTATAAATGAACACTAAAGTGCACTAAATTGACTCAAATTTTTGGAGAAAAAATATACAACTTGGAAGAAATGCTTTTATAATATCAACAGTCCCACTGTTTTGTTCTATTCTGTTCATTCATCCATATATTTGCAAATATCCAATGTTCTCAATTTGAGGTAAAACAATACAACCACTTTTTTCTCTTCCCCAAATGCTTCAATACTATATGTAACTTCACTTCAAAAATTCAGACTCCCTCTGAACCAACTGTAACACTCTTTTTACACAGACCAGCCAGGCCCTCCCTGGAGGAGGTGCTTGTGCAGCACATGGCTGATCGGGAGCCCCTCTACACCTGCTCAGTCTGAGAAGGCCTCAGAAGACCAGTCCAAGAGCCTGGACTACAATGCTTTTTCTCAGAAGGTGGAAAGCAGTTTCCAGCATCTCTCTCAAGCAAATAGTAATTTCTAGAAATTTATCACCCTCTTGGCCTATTTTGGGGCCACTTAACTGGGAACAGACCTGTTTGTGAGACACTGGGTGATCAGGCTCTGGAAGAAAATGATTGAGATGGCAAAATCCAGGCAAGAATTCAGTAGTTATGCCCTGGAGCTGGGACTCCAATAAGCTGGGGGGACTATGTGCCATTTCAGTTATCAAAAAAGTGCCTGACGATGACCTCCTTTGGCAGGCCTCTCAGATTCAGAGTTGCTTCCCTATCCCTGCTGCTACTGCTCTGGACTTGGGTGCCAGGGTTCTGGGATGGTGGTTATAGGAAGAGCTTTTTACCCTGCTACCCTTCTAACCAGTCTTGCTCACTCGCCCTTTGTTCCTCAGAGAAACCCTGCATACTGTTACCATGATAATTCTTCTTCTTTCTTCCTTTTTTATTTTTTGGTGGGGGGCATATTGTTAGAGCTGGAGTTTTTCTTACATGTACTTGTAAATGCTTCTACAACAGAAGTATGATTTTTGTGATAATGAAAAGAGGACAAGGCACCAATAATGAAAGGACATATTTAAAGTCAGTTTTAAATGCCTCCAAAATTCAGAGGGGAGCAGATGAGAACTGCTGTGGCTCCTATTTCTTCTTCAAGTCTATATGCTCCCTTTGGGCAGTATCAGGGGCCTCCATAAACACTCCTACTCTAGCTCCCAAACAGATTCCCCCTCACTTCTTTAATCTTGACTGTTATTCGTGTCTTTGTGGCACCCAGCTTCTGCTCCTGTCAAACCCTGTCCTCCTAGCTTATTTCAGTCTTAGTCATCCTTTCAGATCTAGTTAAAATTTCACCTTGCTGGACTATTTTCATACTTCAATCTATCTATCATTCTGTGGCATTTTATTTATGTGTGTACAGCACCTCTTAGGAAAATGATGATGGCCTTTTCAGTTGTTACCTGCTATTTTACCTGAGTGAATCTAGTCTCCTAAATGAATTCCAGATTCTTTGAGGACAGGGGTCTTGTAAAAGCATTGCTTTCCTCACACCATCTGCCATAGTTCTAAATACATTGTATATAATCTACTGATAATTATATTGAGACTTTGATTGACATGTGTCAGACCACAGTATCAACCTTCCTACAAAATATTTGGAGGAGGTTTTCATAGGCATGGTAGTCATGAATACAATGGAATGAATGATTTGGAATATCAGTAACAAGCTGAGTGTGTGGCCTTAGAAAACATTATCCTTTCCCTGACTTGCCAGACAATCGCTTTCCATGTGACTCTTGTTAGCTGTTCTGACCACTGCCCTGGTGAGAACATCTTATGTCCTTAGCAGATTGTGAACTTCATTGCCTACACGAGGTTCCTTCTCCTACCATTGTGGACAACTCTGTTCATTTGTCTCGATTCCATCATCATCAATGGTACCCCTTCTTCCAAGAAGTAGGCACTGAATGCCATCACTGAGATCACGTCTCTAAGCTTGGATTTCTAAATAGGCTACTCTTCTCCTATAGACCCTACTCTTGTTTTGTCACTCCAAAAGATGAACTTGTGTCATTGTACATATGGCTATAAAATCTGTTTGCTTACTTACATATTTTGTCCATCATTTGTTTGGCCAAGCAGGATATGGTCCTTTTAATAACTGATCTTAGATTGTAAGTTCTTAGATGGTGCACATGAAGTATTTTTTAATGTACCTGGGGCAGTTCCCTGCCTGAAAATATACTCTCAAATGATTGCTGTAGGGTGCCTTTATACAAACATGACAGGCCTAAAATCTCATCTGACTTCTCACTGTGAAGCTGATGACAGAACCAGAGAGAAAGTCTGAGTAGCTCAGGTCTACTAGTTAAACTCCATTCTTAACTAGCAGTGTGATCTTGTGCTGGTTTTCAACTTCTTTGGACTTACTTTTGAAAATGAAATGCAGGGGATAATTGTACCTATCTCACAGTATTGTTTTAAGAATTAAATGAAATAATACCTATAAGCTAGTACCATTCATGGCTATTGTTTTCATAGTTGTTTCATTATTCCTTGAGACAGAAGATAACTGAGCAGTTGAGAATGTGTGAACGACATTCTGAGTATATTTGTTGAACTGAAATGATTCTGTATTTTGAGGTTCTTCATGTTAGCAGAAGCCTGAGCTTTTCAGCCAATCAATCCAGTTTGGTGGCTATTATCCAGGTCTTTTTTCTTCTCTCCAGGACTGAAAATATCTACAGAAGCTATAAAAAAAATTTTTAATTTTTAAAAAGGCTGTTTTGCAGGATGCAGGAGGGTGGGGAAAAGAGGGAGCTAATATTTCAGGCTCCTTATTTCAGTTTTAGTTTATAATAACCCAACCCACCCCAAAGAGCCTAAGGGTTTTCCTCTCGGGACAGTAGTCCCCAGCATGTGGGTGGCATCTTCCCTTAAGCTGCCATGTGGAATTCATTGGTACAAAGCAATCAATTTGTGTTTGGTCTGTGGGAGTGAGCCTGGTCTGGAAGGTCACTGATATTTTATTGTATGAATGTTTCAAACTGGTGTAAATTAAATCTCTAGGCAGAGCTCACAAAGGACAAACAGTGAATCAAAGAGAGAACCAGACATAACAGCAACCTGGGTGTTTCCCTTCTGATAGTCTCTCCCTGGGCCTCACCACTCTGCATTTTGATGCTTAGATCTCAAGGCCGAGGCAATGGTGGACCAGGTACATCAAGAACCTGCCGAAAACTGACTTGGCTTAGTGTGTGGACTTTGAGAAGTCCTCAGGCAGAGACACAAAGTCACAGCAGGGAGGAAGTGGGCCCTTTGGCAGTAACTCCTGCGATCTGCTCTGCTTTTACTAAAGGCTGGAGAGCCAGCTCCTTGGAGGTTTCAAGCACAGTACCCTGCTTTGGCTTTGGTCTTTCAGGCAAGTGAAGAGAATGGCTTGGCATTGCTGCTCCAAATGCTCTGCTTTTTCACTGCCTACTCCTGGGCCTGCTAGTGCTCTCCAGGTAGCTAAGGGAACACAGCCCAGAGAAAAATCTGACCACAAGGAGAACAACACAGGGTTTATGAACTGAATAGAGAATACTGCCCAATCCAGCAAGGTGTAATCATTTTCTTTCACAAAATCAGATGATTGTAATAGAGAGGGAAATGACAATATTTTATTTTTTCATCAACACCGAACAAAACAATATTGGTCCCTGGACAAGTTTAATGTAGAAACGTGACAGAAATGTTTTTCAGAGTAAGCCTAGGGTCTTCTCATCATTTGGTATGACACCTTGTGTCCCTGTAGCAAGAATCAAAGACCAGAGGACATAGTCTGTGAGCCTCTTTTTCTGTGCTCTGAGCCAATGTAATGTTACATCTCTGGGACCATATGAGACAATGTTCTACCTGCCTGAGCATCGCCCTCTCTGGAGGACTTTGAAATGACCACTCAGCAGATAGTCCCTGCCTGTCTCACCTGTCTGAGGAGCCTCTGGTGTAGGGGACAGAAGTGTATACAGAACAGCTGAGCAAAATATTCCAGAGAGATGCTTAATAAAAATTCAAAAACACTTCATTGGTGATGAAGTAACATAAGATTCTTTGCATTATTTTGTCTAAAAAAGATGGATCTAATAGAACAATGTGATCCAATCTTCAACTCCTTGTTCACATTCAGGGATTTGCTGGTGAATTAAGAGAAAAAGAGCCAGTTAGATCAGCAATTCCCATACCATAATAATAGAGTGAACATTTTTAAGTTTTTATTATGTTCCAGGAAGTGTTTTAAGCAACTTACATGTAGTGTTTCACTTAATCCTCACCATTTTATGTGATAGCTGTGGGTAAGAGATACATGAACTGTCCCAGCTTTACACTGCTTGTAAGTAGCGAAAGTAGAGTTGACTTACTCTGTAGGTTTAAAATCCCAAAGCATGATGCTTCATTTCCCCCAACATTTCAGAAATTTCAAGAATTTTTAAGAATCATTAAAGTTACCATTGGAGGAAGATGTATACCATTGTTTAAATAAATTTAATCTTTTAAAAAAGAGAGTTGTTTCCTACATGGGCACCAGGCTCACAATGGCATAACCTCCTTAAAAGTAGTCATAGTTCTCCTTTTCTTCCCATCTTTCCTGCCCAATATCTTCTTCACTACTAGCCTTCCCTGGGATAAGAAGGGTACAGGTAATGTTCTAGATTCTTCTTCATGGGAATCCTCATCCAGTCCTTCTTAGAAAAGAGTATGCCTAGAATCCTGCCTCGAGGTGGATAGGGCACGACTAGGGCACAACAAACCACATATTCTGGAAGCACACTGCTCTCCTGGGGGGTGGAAAAGAAAAGCTCTCTTCAGCATATCCTTCTGCCCACTCTCACAGACACAAGATAGAGAAAAGTCATCTCACCTGAGTGACTAGGGATTTTCTAGATCATGGTGCTGAACCCAGAGGATCAAGCTAAATGTCTAGAAAGCTCTGCAAGGCAAAGATGTTCAATTATTGGAGTAGCAGGAAGCAACAAGAAAAACAAAGTAGCTAATATGTGGTAGTGAAAGAATGCATTATGGTTAATTTTCCTGGTTACTCAATGTAGCTCACCCATACTGAGTGCCAAGGGAGAGGAAGTTTGAGGTTTGTTTTTATCCATATATTTTCAGCTTTGCTGCAGATAATGTTGTGTGTGGTAATTCCTAAGTGATGTAACAACATGTAGAGTTTCTCAAGGAAGGTTAGTTGGCATTTTTAACAGGACTTGGATTAAAAGTCTTTCTCTTCAAAAACCAGTTCAGTGAATGAGCCTGAAAGGAGCCTGGCTTTGAAATCCTCTCCTATAATACCAAAAACAATTGGAGTAGCCTGATTTTCTTTATTGACAGTAATCTGCAGGAGTCTGAACCATCACAGGTTCAGGCCACTCTCAGGAGGCTCTCAGACTCCCCAGGTGGGAAGTGACTCCAGCCCATGCACCATAGAGATCCCCTGTGGGATCCACAGCAAGGGCAGTCTTCAGGGATAATACTGAGCTTACAGTGCCCTAGAGCAGGACTTATGGGATTGTATTTGAAACTAAATGTGTCTATTCTGATTTTCCCCCCCAACTTCTTTTCTCCTTCTATCCCCAATGTTGTATGTAGGCTAGGTGAAAACTTAGTGCTTTTTGACTTATAAAAGGTTGCAATTGGAAAGATAGATGAAATGACAGTGTGAGAGAGAGTCAGGATGCTCAGCTGAGTGGCCTCAGTGTCATTCCATTATAAATTTCTGTGAGCAGTGCTTCTGAATTGTCATTTTGCATGTGTATGATAGAGTAAGTATTGCACATCTCAGCCAACCTATGCTTTTCCTGCTTCCCCTCAATCCCTGAAGGACTCTGAAGAAGGGAAATCAATAAATCAATTGGTACCTTGTCCAATACCCATTTCAATAACATCACAGGGCCATTTGCTAAAGACTAGACATTAGTTACGGAAAGAGACTGAAACATTCTTATTTGATAATGTATCTCTTTGCCTTTGTGAATGAGATACAAAATGGAATAGTGGAGTGTTCTTGCCAATAATAATTTTTGTGTTGACCTTATCAAAAAATAAAAAAGATAATTATGGAGAGAATGATAAAATATCATTTATATCTCAGGGTTTATTACAAAGCCAGTGGGGAGTGTTTTCTAGGCTTATTGTATAGTATTTTATTCAATTTTCCCTACTGTGGCTAAATCAACTTTTTAGAAATTAGATTTTTTAAATATATATGTTCTTTCCCCTTGGTCCTTAAAAATGACATCAAAATTAACATTGAAAAATCTATAAATGAACACTAAAGTGCACTAAATTGACTCAAATTTTTGGAGAAAAAATATACAACTTGGAAGAAATGCTTTTATAATATCAACAGTCCCACTGTTTTGTTCTATTCTGTTCATTCATCCATATATTTGCAAATATCCAATGTTCTCAATTTGAGGTAAAACAATACAACCACTTTTTTCTCTTCCCCAAATGCTTCAATACTATATGTAACTTCACTTCAAAAATTCAGACTCCCTCTGAACCAACTGTAACACTCTTTTTACACAGACCTTGCAGATTTTGTTATTATTACAATATTATTAAAGGAGTATGTCTTACAAAGAACCTTAAAATATGTGAAAAGATGATAATAATTATAAGGATAATGACAACAGTAAAATGCATCTCTAGTGCCCTGTAGCCAAAACTGTACTAGACTGAGTGAGGGTCAGAAGAGGAGAGTTCCAGTCTCAGCCCCATGTTCAGGGTCTTTCTCATCTGTAGTGGGATTCTTTGCATCAATTCAGCTCAAATTCCTCATCAGTAAATTGCAACTGCTAGACTAAATGGTCTTTAAGATTCTTTCCAAGTATAAAATTTTTTGCTTTTGTGAATCTCTCTGTAGACTTTGATTACCTTTCTTAGGAGAGCTCTTATGAATTGTGGGTTCTGGTAGAAAGAAAGGATTTTTGTATACGGAGAGATTGCAGACTTTTATCTGAGGTAATAGTGACCAGGAAGTCTCTGGCCCCTCAGCACAGGTGTGTGGCCACAGTGGTGTAGTCTGTGGGTTGGTTCATAGTCCAGCTAACTGCTTTCCTCTTGACTCTGGATTAGGGTTGTTCTCTAAACATTGGTTATATTTTAAAACGAAAGCTTCTGAACCCTTCCTTACTTAGCAGATGGAATCAGAAATGTTGGTGATATTACTGCAGCAAAGCCAGCAGGTCTCATTTAAGCTCCTATTTTGTGCTGGGACCACCTAAGCTTCTGAAAATAAATGACTTGAAGATACAATGAAAAGGGATTAGATCACTTAAACATTTTCAAATAAGGCTCAAAGTTTGTGGAACCAAGAGCAGTTCTTAACCACTGTAATATAAATAGCTATATAGATATAAAAAAAACTTTTTTCCTCCCATTGGCTATGGGAAAAGTGGCGATCTCACCTACAAATTGCCTTACCTATATCTGGACCTAAACAATATTCTTCTGTCTTGCTTATCTTCTTTGCTGTACAACCACCGGAATTAGGGGCGAGCTCGGCCCTGTGTTCTCTCTTCCGCTGGCCGCGCGCACCTGGAGGGCAGGCCTTTCACGCAGGGTTGCCGCTGGCAGCAGGGCGGACTTGAGGCCTGGACCCAGGTTGGCCTAGCGCCCGCGGCGACTCCCCCTACCGGGAGTCCTAAGCAGTGCCGGTGGCGGAGACTGCAGCCCTCTCGCCGCCGGTTCCTTCACTACTTCGCGGGTGGCAACAGACAGCTGCCGCCGGCGGGGGTCTGTCAGCGCCCGGCGGAAGGCCTTGGTCCGGGTAAAGAGTATTTTCCTGCATAAGCAATTAGCTGCGAATAAACATATAAAACGGCAGCTTTGTAAATCGAATGCTAGGCGCGCTCCTTTAACGGGCGGGGCCGCGGGGGTTTAGGGGGAAGGCAGGAGAGAGAAGGGAAATATGCGAGGCTCTGGAAGGAGTGGGAGGTTGTGCAAGGAGGTGCCTTAACACGCTCACCAGTAGTTCTGAGGCGCTTCTTAAGTTACTAAGACCCGATCCCTGGAGAGTAACTGGCCGTCCCGGTTACACGGCGCCCTTTTCCCTGGCCTGGGATCTGCGCGCGCTGCAGGTAGTCAGCACAAGCCAACCTGACACCAGATGCCCTCGGAGACCCGGACCCGGAGAGCGAGCGCCTCTGCGGGGCGCAGCCAGTTTGCACCCGTCCGCCCCATACAACCCATAGTTAACTGGGGCCTTGGAGTGTGTCAGATCAAGGTGAGCAGAGGAATCCTCTTGCCTTCAGATCTCGCCTTCGGGACTTCACTTCGGGTCTTGCGTCCAAGTAGCGCCCCGAAAGCAAAGCAGTCGGGGGTGAAAAACGCGGTGCAAACTCGTTTCAAAGCGGAAGGATGCTTGCGCGTGCTTCGGTCAGCCAGCTTGTTTAGGCTAAGGTGCAGCTCCCAAGCGCAGGTTTGGGCAATGCGCACTCCGCTGGGCCCAAAGAGCCATCAATTTTGCCAAAATGGGCACTGTTTTGGGTACACACGGGCGAGGTAAGCGGGTAGGAGGTACACCTGAACTGGCATACTGAAGAGCGGTCACCTGGGAAGCCAATTTTGCAAAGTCTCGCCGAGTTCTCGGGGCATTTTATGTAGCATAAACCGTTGGAATATAGCAGTCATACACGTATTAACGAAGATAAGTGCATGAAAAAAATGATAGGAAATAAAGGCGTGAAAGTCTGAACCGCCACCGGATATCTTGCCCTTGCCTCCTTCGCAGGCCGAGGGCTGTAGTGGAGCCTGCAAGAGGCACAGCGGGTGTCACCGGCCGCTCGCCCCGCTGAGGTCGTGAAACCCGTAACCCAGGCGGAAACAGCCAGCTTGTGAACCTGGGGTTCCCGTGCTCCCTCCCACCTTGGCACCCACGGTCTACGCGGGGCCGAATCTAAGGGCTCTGGTGGGTGTCCGCAGCCTGCCTCAAATCGCGGGCCGAGCTCCAAGGAGTCCGGGGAAAGCAAGGCCCAAGCTCGGGGCGTCGCGGGCTGCTTTCCTGTGGAGTCTTGGGCAGGGTCTGGGACCTGTGAGTTGTCAGTCGCCTCAGTTGCCCTCCCTGTGTGGGGATGTCGTGGGTCAGTGGTGCCACGGCAGACTGTAAGGACAGTCTCGAGCTGCCGGTGCTTTCTCACTGGCCTGGCTTGAGGCAGAGCCGGGAGAGCTGAGGTTCTCCCAGAGAAAGTCTTTTCCCAGCCCTGGAGACATGGCCAGGGGACGCTGGAAAGGATTTGGTAAGGGTGAGGGTAAGGAAGGGATTCGTTTCCTGCCTGCGGCTGCTTCCCTCTTCCTTTTCAGCAGGCATCGGTGATTTGGGTAGTTGGGCTATTACGAAGGCAGACTTCTTACCCTCCCCCCATTTCTAGTGAAGGTGTTGCTATGCACACCTCCACCCGCACGCCACCCTACACCGACACCAACACCACCTTTCTCTAACCTGCTTCACCTCACACTTTTCCTGAAAAAATACGAGTTATATGTGTGAAAGGTAACTAAACCCGGTATCTGTAGCCAAGTAGCTAAGTGCGTGGGGAGGGTACTTCACTGAACGGGTCAGTGTTTCTTCCTAACGATGTTGATTGACCCTTAGCAAAGTAGCTCTCCTTGTGGGCTGGTAAGGGTAAGGCGTGGAGCCGGAGGGGGGCTGGGGCAAGCATCAGCTTGTGTGCACCTCCTGTGGCCTGCCAGTTCCTGGGCTCGAGGCCTCTCTGCTCAGCCAGCAGCCAGGATCAGACTCCTAAAGCAGCAGAAAAATGAGACAAGTAATCTCGCTCCGCTATTCCCTGCCCCACATCACCACTTTTTTCTTTTTGTAGCTGGGCAGTGTAATAGGCAGGTCGACCTGAAGCTGCGATGTAGGAGTTGTAAGCGATCCTGGGGTTGGCACTACCCTTCAGGATTTAGGAATCTTCTAGGGAGGAGGATCAAAGGGGCACCCGCATTTTTTGAATTTGGTTGCGGTTTACTTCCCTTAGATTGGAGTCGAGAAGAGGGCTCCCTGAGACGTCTCTATGAGCAGGTAATTCTGCGGTGGTGCAGAGGGCTGGTGGCTGACACTTCCAGTGATGGCAACCAGGCGGGGCAGCGCCCTTTCCGGTTATCAAGATGATTAACCTCAGGGCCTTGCCTCTGGTGGGATCCCCGCTCCCCCTGTAGCTTCCCCCTCACAGGGATTAGGGGACACTCTTTTAGAAGGAGGACCCGAAGGTCGCAGCCTGGGCCCATACTTACCTCTGCGTGGCCTTTCCTCCCAGCGGGGCTGGGGAGGAGGGGGAAACCTTCAGACCCGGCCCTTCCCGTCGCCCAGCTCTCCGAGTCAGCTTCATCGGGCCAGTCTCCCGCGGTCCCCCGGGTCACCTCCCCCCTGCAACCACTTGTCTGAAACTTACCAGATTCCATCCTTAAGGCAGGAAAAAAAGTGTTTCATATACAAACCGATCAGGGTATTTGCAGATAATTGCGTATGTCAAATACTCGGGCGTGATGACAAAGTGCAGAGATTGCCAGGGCCCGAGCTCCGCCTGAAGGGCGGGGGCTGCTGGCGGGGCTCCCGGGAACCTTTAGCCTGCTTATACGAGGGGAGGGGGGCAGCCGGCAGTTAACAGAGCCGGCTGTTCCTTCGACCCATCAGCTGTGCAGCTGATTCCTAGACTCACTCACTACGTCCACACTGAGCCCCGCGTGGGAAGGGCAGTGCCAAGGTGGTTACAGCACCAGCCCAGCTCCCCCCACACCCACACTCATGCACAAAATCCCTAGGTAAGATGCACATACACGCGCGGGGTTCCTGGGCCTCACGTTGGACGCTCAAGCCCAAGGCCCTACCAGGCAGGGTTCCCAGAGCTAACGCCAGACTGTCACTCCCCATTGCCTGACACCTAGGGGAGGGGCAAGTCACAGGCCACATTGGAGCCAACTGCTGCACCCGCCTAGTACCAGTATTAGTCCTTTATAGAAATAAAAACAAATTTTAAAAAGTCCCCGAAAACTCTACCCTCCAACCTGATCCCCCTACCTGGATTGCAAGAGGCCATGGGCGGGTGCTGGGGGGTGGGTATCCTGGGAGCCGCAGCACACAGCCCGCCAGAGTCCACCCACAAGGTCTTGGCTACAGCAACGGTGCCTGTTCCCGGCCGCTTTCGGGATAGCTGCTCTGAGTTCCCCCCACCCCCACCCCCGCAAAGCAGGTATGCTCAGAATGTTTCAGGAGCCTCAAATCCTTAAAATAATAATTAAAAAGTTACCCTTGTTGGATTCCAAATCTACTGAAAACCAAGGGGATCGGTTATAGGTGATCGATAAAGTTAGTGGCAGGTCTGCAGCTTCCACAGGTAAGAACCTTAAGGGTGGTGGGGGCATGTAGGCGCTGGCCCTGGGGACTGGAGGTGAGGGACCCAGAGAAGCAGTAGAGACTCGCACCACCCACACGTGTTATAACAAGTATGAGCAGGATTGGTGGCCTCGGCCATGGAGTCCTGGGTCCCAGGACATCGTCAAGGAGGGGAGGAGGTTGAGAGACCTTGAGAGGATCCAGTTCTTTCCTACATGAGGGCCCAAGAACCTGCAGAACACTTCCGAAGGCCGGTGGGGAGAAGAGGGAGGGATGGACAAGTGAGGGCGCTGGTGCAACAGGCCTGGAGGGGGAAGAAAAGTCCAGGAGACTATGTTGGAGCGTCTGTCGGGCGTTCCTGTCCCAGACCCTCGGCGACACCCCGCCTTTCTTCCGAGTGCCTGAAGTCTGCCTATTCCTAGAAGCCCCTGAAGTTTTACACTCCAATAGTCTGAGGTTTCCAATGATGACAAATTAGAAAAACGCTTCTGCTGAAGCCCGGCACCTAAGTCTGAGAGTTGGGGGGAAGGGACGCTACTGGACGAGCAACTGGAGAAAAGGAGAGACAGGCTTCTCCGACTTTCTCTGTTGCTAAAATTGGTGGCTTGGGGGGAGAGGGAGGGTGGGGGACATAAGCCTGGAGTCGGGAGCGTTTTGGCTGACCCAAAGCTGGATCCGCCGAAGCTGGGCACCTGGCAGCTTAGCCGAGGATCACCAGGAGCGGTCATCTTTCAAGCCTTTGCCGGGAAGGCCTCGGTCTTGCGGGAATACTCAGTGGGAGGTCACCGGAGAGAAGCAGGGAGGCAGGGTCTGCAGGGAACTCCTCAAGATCCAGTGAGGCCGGGGTGGACGCTCAGAACCGTCTATTCCCAGCCTGGGCGGCCAACCGGGGTCCCACAAGTGTAAGATGTGATTCTCTTTGACTTTCCAAATCAAAATGCACTGGTTGTAGCCCAAAGAGTTTAGAGCACATAACTGTCTTAATTAAACCTGCTATAAATAGACAAATCACTTCTCTTGCACAAAGAGCTCTGGGAGATCATACAGGGTCTGGCAGAAGCCAGGCTCTGGGGATGCTCTTTTTAAAAAGGTTTGTGGATGAGGCACAGACAGAAAAAGAAAAACAAGAGTTTCCACGACCTCAGAAAACAGCTTAACTGAAACCAAAGTGCGCGATAACGGGGATATAATTGGGGAAAGGAGTGCTTAAACCCAGGGGATAATTGGGTTCCCCGAGCAACATACACGGTTGGGGACCCGCAGCCCAGGGTGGGGGCCCTGCAGTGGTAGGGCAGGGAGGGAAGGGGAGGCACTGGGTTGTTAAGTGGAAGTTGAGGTCCTCATCGCTGAGGTTCTGAGTTACCCTACTAGCCCTGCACTTTCCTTCCCAGTCTTTCCATCTTTCTCTGCTGTTCTGCTCGACTTCCTGGCACTCGAATGACAGCTAGGAAAGCACACGTCCTCCCTTAACCTGGCCAGCTTTGGGGACAAGGGGTCTCCGTGGTGAGCACCCTGAGCACGTGGCCACTACAGCGGGGCGCTAGGAGCCTGAAGTGGGCAAGACTGGGGAGGAAGATGGGAACAAGATCCCGTGTGGGAGCAGATGGGAAGGAAAACTGTCTGTAACCCTCTGGAAAAGCGGGAGACAGGGAGTATACACCCACAGCTCCAGGTTCGCTTCCTCTGCAGCCAAGCGCCGACGACCGACGCGATTTTGAGAAGGGTTAAGGTCAGGCGCTCCGGTGCACTCAGACCCGCGGGTGAGGGAGAAAGGTTGAGAAGTGGCCGCGCTGAAAAGGGTCGGAAAACGCCCTTCTCTGCCCTGAGTGTGCAAAGAATATTCTGAATAACTGTGGGCCTCCGGAAGTTACATGGCAGAAGGCAACCTTTGGCTGACTCTGGGTCTCACCACTTAAAACAGTACGAACTAAGGGACGCTCGTATATTTTTCTGACTCAAAATGGAAAGGTAAAGTTCTCCATAATATACAAACACTAAAGATAAGAGCGCACAGGTTTGGATGTACTGGGAATTTCAGAAGCGGGCTTTCCCCTCACCTCTACTCCCTTGGTTTGCAAGTATGTATTCCCATCGCTTTTCATTGCTTAGCTTCTGACCCCAACAATAATCTGATTCAGAAATACTCTTCATTTCGCTAGGTCGACATTGGCAGGCACTTTTTATATTGTATCTAATAGGGAGTTTAAACTCAAGCAAATTTTAGCCTAATGCTTTCCTAAAAAGTCCTTTAAAAGATTTGCTTCCAGACAACAGAAAGGAAAAAAAATTAGGTATGATTGGAGAGAAACATGCTTAAATTGCCTTTAGATTTCTAAGATTTTGTATAGGCGCTAACAATTTTGTGGACACTAACGAAAGGGCTATTTGCAGTTATTATTTGTGAAAGGTCTTTTATATTTTCAAGCCATAGTACCCAGGTGGAAAATTCTTTACGACTAAGAACATGCTTTTAAAACGATTAGAAAACCGAAACAAAAATTTAGAATGCATTATGGTATAGAAATCTTTACTGAAAACAACAGGTATCACTATAATCCAGGAGCTGAAGTCAAAATGTAGTGAAAGTTAATTAAAATGCAAACTATTAGGGGAGCACTGCACGTGTCGTTGTCACATTCAAAAGGAAAAATCTTTAGGAACCCCCCCCCCATACTTGAATTGTGGTATTTGAATCGTTGTCAACATTTTTCTCCTCTGAAATAACAACAGTTCACCTTTCAGAACTCTGCACCGTGGAGCGACAGTGACGATTGTTCTCTAGGCGAAGGACTTTTGAAACCAACAACTTCTTTCACACACTCACACTCACACTTGCACACACTCCCCCACCCCCACCCCCTACACACATTTGACGGTTTTTGAGTGAGAGAAAAAGAGAGAGGAGAGGGAGAAAGAGACTGGGAGACTCGAGCTTGGGTAACCAGCAAACCCAATAACTAGGCTTTATTGATACTAAAAGGAAAAGTTCCCCTCGTAAAATTTATCTGAGCTTATTAGTTATTTAAATCAGCCCCAGGGCTGGACGAGCGACGCCGCAGGCACCCGCTGTCGGTTCCTGGAGGTGAGCAGACGTCGTTCACGCCCTAACCAGTCGCCCCTGTCTCTGTACTTGGCACCGGGGGCAAAGGCAGGCGCAGCGAGCTGAGGTGAGCCACTTGGCAGGGGTGCTGGGCCTGGCACGCTTGGAGATAGCTCCGCGTGGCCTGTGGGTCTTAGAATTTAGAAACGAACAGGTCACAGCCAATGAAAAGGGTGTGCCATGAGCAGGCCAGGCAGACACCGAGCGCCGGAACTCAGCGGGCCCACTGGCTGCTCAGCCCCGGGCGCCGCTGGGCACCGGCCCCTGCGGCCCCTGCGGCCCGTACGGGAGCGCACGGTGGTGAGGCTAGCCTGGCTCCGTAAAAGAGTCGGGCTGGTGTTCGCCGGGCATCGGACCGCTCAGGGATGCGGGGTTCGCCCCCGTTTATGTGGGGCTGGGGTTTTGTAATTGGGTGGGCACTAGGTGAATTTACACCTTTCTGGGTCTTCCCTTTTAGTAGCAGGCAGTCCCAAAATGTGTGTGTGTGTGTGTGTGTGTGTGTGTGTGTGTGTGTGTGTGTGTTTATGCGCGCGCGCGAACAGTTGAATTTATTTAATAAGCCCTAACCTACCCCTGAAGTCCTGTAAGTCGGACGTGGGGGTTCTCAAGTCCTAACGCAGCGCCGGGGCAGAGCCAGGTGATGCCTGCTCAGCTGGATTGGCTGCAGGGCCCGCGGTCAAGCCACTGCAGGGTGGGGAAGGACAACCCCAGGTCGCCCCTGTCACAGCCACTAGGGCCTTAGACCCGGGGTCAAGCCTTGACGGATTAAGAGGGTGTCCGTGGGGCTTCATGAGGAGAGAACAGGCGAATCACCAGTCCAGGAAGCCCTTTAGGTCCTAGCTACTCCGGACGGGTTTGGAACGCCGGGTAGACCGACTACCCGGTTCATCCTCGGTCCTTTAAGTGTCTAGGACCTTGGGTCCTGCCGCAGACGTTCATGCTCTCTCGCGCGTGGTGAGACTAGCGCAGGCCCAGAGCCCCCAAACACTCCCGAAGCCGTTAAGGCTTGGGCTGTCTCGGATCTGGCTTCCTGGGCTCACTCAATTCGGCTAGAGGTGGGCGCGGATTTTACAACGCAGGCTGGCTTGCGTGGAGTTTGGGGTGCAGGTGGGGCGCCGTGGCTTGGGCTTTGCAGGTATACATTTCATTACAAAGGTTTGGGGCAAACTGAGGGCGCCAATGTTTCGCCTGCCGGCCGCGTTTTTGTATGGGGTGATCCGATTGTGCCCCGGGCCGGGGACCTGCCCTCCCCCGCCGCATCCTGAAGCCGAGGACTCCAGGCGACACGGATAGGCAGGCTCTGGGACTCTGTAGACTGAACAGGCGCCGCAGGTTTCGGCCGCTGCCCACGCGGTGGCGCTGTCGGGAGAGGACACCTCAGCTCCGGTCTTGGGACCAGGCTGAGACCCTGGCTCGGGGGTGATCAGGCCGTGAGGACAAGTCAAGTTCTTCACTGTCACCTTGGGCCCGGGGGTTGGGGATGGCACCGAGCCCTTACTCTACGCCCGGTGTTTCCAGACGGAAAACGCAGCGGGTCCGGAGCGCGACTCCGAGCTCCAGCTCTGGCCACTCCCGCGTGGGGGCGGGGAGGCAGCGGCGGCTGCTGTGGCGTTTCGTTTTCTTTCCTGCTTTGCCTTGTTACCCAGTCGTTTAAAGTCGATTTCTGTTTTTGAAAACCTAGATTAGCAGGGCATGCGCTGCTGCAGAAGGGGATCCAGCTCTTAAGCGTTTGACTCTGAAAGAGAATGAAGGGATGCGAGAACCCTGGGGGTATTGTCATGTGTCCCTGGAGTAGGGTTCGAAGCTGGCAGGCCCTCCGCTTTTCCGTGCAGTCCAGCCCGCGGCTGCGGAGAAAGAACGCCCACACCTCCCACCAAATGACTCCTGTAGCTTCCACCAAACCTGTCCACTCGCTTTCCTCACTTGGGGCAGGCAGTGCCTACACCCGAAGCTTTCTCCCATCCCAAAGTTCTGGGACCCGGCTACAGAAAGCCCCGAGTCCACTCCTTAGGCAGCTCCTGGGCCGACCTTCGCGCGCCCCTTCCCACCCTCTGGGCTTGTGCATTGTTCCTCTGACAGACCCTCCGGCGTCCTGGGTGCTGGGCTCACCATCTAACGCAGACTAATTGCCCCCCACCCTTCCCCAATTCGCCGTCTCCCTGGGACGCATCTCTGTCCAGGCCGCAGGGGTTCGTTCTTTTGAGGATGGGGGCAGGACCTCCACCGCCCCTACCTTAGGCGGCCCGACGGCTTCCTCACCGCTCCGCCCCTGCCCGGGCCCCCTGAGCCGCTGGAGAAGCCAGGAGTAATTTATCTTTGCCTGGCGCGGGTTGGGATTTGTCCGGGTCTGATGCCAACGAGGAAGGCGTGCAAATAACAAAGTAAGTGTCCGCAGCCCCCTGCGTTCCGGTCAGACCCCAGACGCCCCGAGCAGTCTGGGAAAACGGCTCGAGCCCACCGTTGTTGATCTATCGTTCTAGGTGCTCTTCCTGTGGGAGTTCTGGCCCCGGCCCTTGCCCCTTGGAGCATCCAATTTCTAGTCCAAACCCCGGGCAGTTATGAGGTCCGTGAAAATGTGATCGCCCAACAATCCCCGGACAGTCTTCTGCAGAAATGGGCTTCAGAGCTGGTGTGGGCTTCAAGTGAAAGAAACGATTCCCTCCCGCCCTCCTTACGCCCCCAGCGGAGCAAGTCCCGGGTGGGGGTTGGGGAGAGGGGCGGAGGGAGAGACAGGCCCTCGTGGGTTCGTTCCTAGAAGCCGTCGAAGGCTATGGACGCTGGCAATTCCCATAGAATTTTTCCTGTGCGTGCGGGAGTAGAGGGACGACGCGGTACAACTTTCTGGGCCTCTCTAAGAGGCAGCGCACCGCCGGGAGGGCCTCTTTGCCTGGGTTACTGAACTTGAAATCCAGGGTGCCTGGTGATGGATGCTAGGCCTTCAGAGGTCTGGGCGGCCCAGCTGAGAGCCAGAGTCCCACACCCGGCTCCCGGTACTCTACTCCCGGGGCAGTTGGGCCTAGGCCGTCCTGCGCTGGCACTAGGGTAAGAGGGTTGGCTGAGTTGAGAACTAGCACCAAAACTTAGATGTCGAGAGTCAGAAATCAGAAAACGTTGTCATTAAAAGTGCAGGCCATAAGAGAAAGAAGAAACGCCTGGCAAGTGATAAAGAGAAAAGGGTAGAACATGGAAATAAGAAAAAACATGCATATTTAAGCCCAGAGTATAAAGAGCCGTTGATTTTTAAAATAACAAATCTCAGTGTGATCATGAAAGACAGGCGACCTTTGACTAAATAACACGAAAAAATTGGGGGTGGGAAGGAAGGGGGGGAAAGTCTGAGCAGATTCCTGACAAAAACGTCAAAGAGAAGCAAGCTGGGAGGTAAAAATTTCTTCCAAAGTGAACTTTATGCTATGAGGACTTCAGCAAACTGCAAAAATGCATTTTGGATCAAATTATTAAAAAAAAAGACAAACATAATTAAAACCAATTCTTTTCTTGAGTGTGATTTTGTTTTAAAAAATTAGGAAATAAACCACTTGAAGAATATAAAACGAAACCAAACAAAACCTTTGAATCATCATAATTTATTTACTGTTTTAAAAAGTAGAAAATCCTAGTGAAAGGTAAAAATGTTATTTAGAATTTCTTATTGTCAAAATCAAACATGCTGGAAATAATCGCTTAGCTCAGTTGAAATAGGGTCAATACAAAAATTGTGCAGTGAAAAGTTCATGTAATTTGAAACAGAAAAGGCCTTTATTAGGGACAAAATTCAAGGAAAAACTGGGCATATACCACAAAACTTCCTAGAATTCTCCTTTTTTAAATGGACATAATTTTGTAAAATGTGTTACTAAACATGTCTACATTCAAAACACATTTCTGATAAAATTAGTAGCATTCGAAATATTTCTTTGTTAAATGCAATTTAAGTGTTCTATTTAAGTGTTCTTAGTTCTTTTGCCAAAAATGATAGATTCGTTCACTATCAAAAACGGAAGAGGAAACTCCAATAGAAAAATCAATGAATTTAAAAGGGAGCATAATCTGAAAAACTAGCCACAATGTACATTTAATTGTAGTTAATTGTATACTTTATTTAAAACGCCCTTCTCAGAGGTTTAATAATTTAGAATCAATCGTTCCCTTCAAAACATAATAAAATATTTACACTTTATAAAATATTAACCGATTAACAATACGGCTGTGTTGTTTATAAACGTGTAACTGAAGTCCGTAATCATGCTGCTGACATAGACTGAGAGGTTAGCGAAGTGATTCTTCGCAAAATGTAAATGAGGATCTTCAGACAGTGGTGTTTATAAAATAGCTCATTAATGACTTAAGATTGAATCGCTCCAACCATTCGCATCATCATATATAATAATAGTGACGAATCAGACAGGAAAGATCCTGGCTAAATCATTTGCATTTTTTTCCAGAAGTACTGAAGTCCTAATATCACCAATTCTTTCTTCTAAGTTCCTGGACATTGATCCGGAGGAGGACTCTGCAGTTCAACACCAAGGTAAGGAAAGAAACAGCATTATTATTGTTGTTAAGATATTAATAGGAAATGCGCCTTTCACTATTTTGAAAACGGGCTCAAACTTTGACAGTGATAGTTGGTTTTCACAACACCCCCTTCCCATTCCGACGTGATAATACCGGTAAAAAAAAAAAAAGTGTCGATCAAACTTACAGTTTGTTTCCTTGCAGCCAAAAATCTTTTAGCTACCACCACGAGTTGGTTTACTTGAGCCACTTTGTTCGCACAGACTTCGAATTGTGCATTTTCTCTCACCCGTTCGTTTGGGGAGGAGGGGGCAAGAAGCTTGGGGAGTAAAAAACACGGAAAAAAAACACGCAGCCTAAAACTCCCAGGGTGGCTCTGTGAAGCTTTACTATTCTGCTGGTTTTCTTTCTTGGCTAGGTCGGATCGCCTCCCCGGTCGCCTCCGGCTCTTTTGGAACTTGGTGGGCGGTGCCTGGGTGCGGGGTTCTCCAGGATCTGGGCGCTGAGACTTAGGCCGGGGGGCAGGTTTCGCTTCTGGTACCCTTTCTCTTCCTGAGGCTCCCCCGCCTCCCAGGTCCCTGTTTTTGAGGGGATGGCAGCGGGCACTCAGCCCATTGGGTAGGTGCGGCGAGTGGACGCCGGCTTTGCTTGGGGCACACTAGGTGGACGCGGCTTTCCTCTGTCAGTGCAACCAACAACGATTTGCAGAATTGCCCCCAAGCGCGTTTCCCGAAATCGAATTTAGTTTGGCCCTCTGGCGCCGCCGTAGAGTCAACGCTTCTTAAGGGGGACCGGTGGCTCAGGCAGTGAAGTGGTAGGGAGTTCTTGGGGTCCAGGGCTTAGGAAGGAGAGCCAAAGTGTGCGAGAGGGTCAGAGGTGCCACCAGCTGAGAGGGCTTCATCAGCCTCAAGGCGGGAGGGGACGCTTCCACATTTACCCGTCCCAGGTCAGGACCGAGAGTGTCAGCCGGGGCTCCAGGCATCTCGCGGGGGATGCGGCCCCTTCCCACGTGCTTTTCTTTAAGGAGGTCCCGGGACCAAACGGTACCTTAGGGGACAATAGCGCGGCCGGAGCCTGGTCCGCCCTGCTAGTACCAGCGCCACCTTAAATGAGCGCCACGGCCGGAGCGGGGCTGCGGGCGACTGCGGCCGCGGGAGTAGGCAAAAGTTTGTGGCTCAGTTACGGCTTCGTGGGACCTGCTGGGGAAGCCCCCGCGCGGCCTCGCCTAGGACGGGGAAACCGAGCCCTCATCGTACAGCTCGCCCGCGTTCGCAGCCCAGGGCCCAGGTCTTTTGGGGTTCCAAGAGTCTCAGCCCCTCAGCCAGAGGACAGGCAGTCCCACCGCCCTCGCTGCCTCCGCGTCACGGCCTCCAGGCGGCCCGGGCAGCTCAGCTCAAGATGCTACCGGCGCAGCGAGCGCTCCAGGGACATCATCCAGGGATGGCCCCCATCCTGCGGCCCCTACGCAGCCCCCTCTCCAGTGTCACCCGGAGCCCGGAGGGCAGTGCTGGTACTCCTGCCATTCGGGACACTCGGTCTATTGTTCTGGACCCACGGCTGTGCTGGCTTTGAGGGTGAAGTGGCCTCCCCGGCGCGTGCGGCGGCGCGGCGGGCCCCGCCGGCCCGCTCGGCGCGGAGGGGGAGCTCGCAGGCACCGGGAAAAGTTGCTCGGAGGGGAGGAGGCGGTGGGTGGTGGGCGGAGGCGGTGGGTGGGGGAGGCGATAGCCCTCCTATCTCTCCAAAGTCGAAAGTATTCCCCGCAGTTAGTAGAACCGGGAGCCGAGGCATCTGAGGTTGCCTCCTGCGCGTCGGTCTGCGTCTCCGCCCGGAGACTAGGCAACCAGCGCCTGCCTGGTCGCCGCCGCCTCCGCGCCGGGACCAGTGCGCCTCGGGGCTGCGCGAGGCGGCCGCGCCCTGGACCCGCCTGGAGGAGGAGGACCAGACCTCGGCCCCGGCGCCCGCGCGCACCCACCCACCGGCCGCGGCCACAGCCTCGTGCGGCACTCGGTTTTCTGCCTTCGGTCCTCCACCTTCCGGAGCGCGCGGTCCTCACCGCACTGCTCCTGCACCGCCGACTCTGCTTTCCTCCTCCCGCCCCCTGCTTCCCACCCGCCCCTCGCTGGTCCCTCTGCCGTCTCCGCAGCCCTGCCGCTGTTGGGTCGCCGGGCTCACAGCGATTGATTGATTGATGTTTAATTTCCTGCCAGGCGGGGCCCCCCTCCCCCCGCAGCCTCCCCGCCCCCCACTCTCCTTCACTGCGGTGGACCAGTCTGTCTTGGGTTTAGATCTTCTCCCCCCCAACCCCCATCCCGAAATAACCCAGACTTCCCCTATCCCCACCCCAAATTATTATTTTAAAGGCGCTAGATCTGGGGACGGAAAGGGGGAGGGGGAGAAATCGGAAACCGAGGACAACCCAAAAGGACTCACTTTGCCTGATGACTCAACGCAACTAATAATCATCTCCCTCTCAGTGTGTCTCTCTGCGGCTTGTCAGTGAGTCCAGCTCCGGCTGCCGGCGGCGGCGGCCGAGAGGGGAGAGGCTGGAGGTGACAGCTTGGGCGGCCGCCGTGTTTCCTCCCGTGCGCGGTCCCGGTTCCCTGCGTCTTCTCGGTTCTCGGTGGCACCGGCCCCACCGCTCCAGCCGCGCCTCCTTGCGAGCTACCAGCCCTGCGAAACTGCAGCCCCGGCCGCCGCTGCCGCTTCCCAGTTCTCAGCCCTTTCTCTCCAGCACCGGTCTCCTTCCCGAAGGTGTGAAAAGGCTTCTTCAGCCTCCTTCTCTTTCCTCCCCCTCTCCGCCGTCCCCTCCCCCGCCCGCTCGGGTGCCCCTTAGGAGGAGCCCTCCTCTCCCTCTCCTCCGCCCCCCCGTCCGCTCACCCCCATCATCATCATAACAACCATCTCCGCGCTAGAAGACACCCTGACCCAGGACCTTAAACATTAGGACCTGGGAAAGAGGAAAGGGGAAGGAGTAAAGCGAAAGGAAGACTAGGAGAACACTGCAAGGCGAAGCACCACAAACTTTCCACCCTGGATTCTCTACTTCTGCTCCATGGACAGAGCCTCAGCCAGCCAAGTTACAGACAGACCGTGAGCAGTAAGTACGCAGGGCGAGGGCTCACGCGCCAGGCTTGGGAGTTCGGGGAAGCCCCGGGTCCGGTTGAATTCCCTCCCAGCATCTCGCCCTTTCGGACTGCCCTGCCAGGGGAGTGCGGGAGTACTGTTCGCCCGGAATGCTCGCTCTCCTTCTCTAGCGCTCGCCTCTCTCCTCTCACCTCCCCTCTACCCCGCCCCCCACCCCCACCTCGTCGCCCTGAGCCTTGGCGACGCGGCTTCACCCACCCGGCGAGGATTCCCAGCGCACTTTGTTGTGCCGGGTTCCTGGTTCTCTGGGATGCCAGTGGCAATGTGAGTGCCGCTTCATCAGGTGTTTACCCCTCCTCCTCCGCCTCCCCAAAATCCAGGGTAGCCGAGATCTACGGGTTGCGTGAGGAGCGCGCTTGCAGCCAAGCGGCCCAGAAGAAAACTTTTTGGAGAGATTGTAAAATTGGGGTCGATGAAGGCTGATCCTGCAACGAATAACTTAAATGCTTTTTGCTTTTGTGTTTTATGGTGAAGAGCTTTAAAAAAAATCACTTAGGATCGGATAAAGATAACGTTACAAATATTAACGAGTGTAGCCCCCCTCCCTTGCCATCAAGGTTATTTTGGAGGTTATTCTGATGAATACCTCCACGTGTTTTCGAATGCTTATTAATGTGGAATTAAAGTTGATTTTGTGCAGTGTGTGTGTGTGTGTGTGTGTGTGTGTGTGTGTGTGTCAAGACTTGCTCAGTAAAGGTAAAAAGCGGGGTTTCAAAGGGATCCTTTTGCCAGGCCCGTCAATTACAGCACATTCATCATGTGGTTAATTCGGTTTCGTATGGACGCCTCGACCACTCTCCTTGAGTGGGTGAGATGGCTTTTTATGAACTTCACTTTTTCCGCAACCTTGACGTGCATACAGCGAGGCTGTCGCACACGAGAATGACTTATGCCAATTCTGTTCCAATGGGTGGGCCACTTCTGGGCTCCCCTGGGTGCAGGTCGGACATGGTCTCCAAGGGCTAACTCCTGAGAACCAGCGAGCGGGCAGACTCGCAGCACCCCAAGCTCTGTGCTTCCTCTGGGCCGCCTATGGTACAGTTGGGGCAGGCTTCCAGGCTGGGGCCCCTCGGGCGGCGTGGGAGGAAGTTTGTGGGGCTATGGTGCAGCGCTCTGCCACTGGCCTGAAAGTCTATCACGTGTGTGAGCGGTTTTCCCTCTTTTTTCCCCCTCCCCCTTCCCCCCTCCCCAGGTCCCTGCGCATTTTATTGCGACCTGCCGGTGGGAACTTTGTCTCCAAGTCGGAGCAGCATGGAGCGGCGGAGCGAGAGCCCGTGTCTGCGGGACAGCCCCGACCGGCGGAGCGGCAGCCCCGACGTCAAGGGGCCTCCCCCGGTGAAGGTGGCCCGGCTGGAGCAGAACGGCAGCCCCATGGGAGCCCGCGGGAGGCCCAACGGCGCCGTGGCCAAGGCCGTGGGAGGTAACAGCCTGAAGCAGGGAGGCGCGCGCAGCCCGCGGCCCGGTGATAATGGCCCGGGTGTCAGGGTTCAGGTTGATTAGGCACCGTCGCGGTGTAGGATTACAGGAAGTGAATTCCAGGTTGCCAAATAGTGCCCCCGTCGCCTCTCATCTGCAGCTGGTAGCTTCATCTCGAGTTAAAACAAGAAAGTGGTTTACCCAGAGGGTGGCATTTTTTGGGCACTTTGCCACTGTGTGCTGAGGTGTTGGCAGGTTTATGTCACAGCCAGCTAACTGTTTCTAGATTTTCCTAGAGAGCTTTTTGGTGAGTTAACTGTTTTGCCTTGCTTCAGAGTGTGTGTTTCAGGGATGAAGTTTAGGTGCATTCGCTTTTCTGGACTAGTCCTTAATGCTCAAGCTAGTATAGGAGCAAGAGTGTTGGTGCTACTTTGTAGTTAGGACAGTGCGTGGAGAAATGAGTAACAACTGGATATTCCTGCTACATTTCAAGTGGAGAATAAAGAATCACCATTAATCTGTCAGGCCCTTAGGGGTTTTAATGCTACCATTTTCTGTAAAATTTAAAGTGATATGCATTTATAACTTTGTTGTGAATTATATAGCACAACAGGTAAAAATAGCGTAATAGTTTTATTGGCTACATGATGTTTCCCTTTCCAAGAATTTAATATTATTTGGAGAATATCTTTTGTAGCTGTTACTACATAAACGACTACTTTCTTGTTTAATGTTTAGGAAAATTAATTGTATAAAAAAGATGTG